TTTTTTTTTTTGTAAGCTGGTGGAGATAATTAATAGGCAGTGGAAAAAAAAAATAATGTATAATTCTACGAGTTCGAGCTAGCTTATAAGCTTCCTCATTTATTTTAAAAGATATAAGAAAGTGATTATGTTTCAAACAATTAACATAATAAAATGATAAAAAAGAATGAAAAATTAAAAGAGAAATACAAAAGAATTACTTAATATAAGGAACTTAGTTATAATATTTAAATATTTTTAATAACTTCCTACATCAACACCTAAATTCTAGTATAAATGTATTTTGTGTATTTTATATTTATATATTTAAACGAGCTAACTCATAATCTAACGAGTTGAGTAAGAGCTGGCTCAAATTTGACTTGTTAGCTCATGGAGCTCGACAAATGAGCCATTTATCGAGCTCTCGAGTTAACTCATGAGCCGACTTGACTCACTTATAATCCTAGAAGCGGCATACTAAGTGGGTTTTGTGCTTTGATCTCTACGTATTGCAATAAAGAGTCATGTGTAACTTCACTAAAGTGTAAATGTACAATTACGGGATTATTATTTAGTTCATGATCCGAAGGGAGATCCATGTTGACATCTACGAAGTGTGATATCACATCTATTAATTTTATAAAATTATGATTTCACATAAAAAAATTTTCAAGACCCAATTTATTTATTTTTTTAACTAGTAAATTTTATTATCCAAAAATTCATTCAACCAAGCATAAAATATAAAGCAATTATAAGAAATTAAAGTGCTTATATAATCAAATTATAAATAGTGAAAATGTGCATCATGACTAGTCACATATTACAAGCCTATGATTGATCAATTTTGATGTCATTCAAGAGGTCAAATGCTTGTCAAACATAAATAAAAAAATATTCATGGGGAACAATCTCAGTCATCAAATACAATGTTTGATATTTTGACAAAAATAATCAAAATGCTCCAAAAAAAAAAAAGAATTCTATTAAAGATTGTTCTTTTATTCATAAGAAGAGATGGATAGAGATGAATCCACAAGAAGGATTCTGAAAAAGAAAATTCAGAACATCGTCTTTCAACACCTGACATCTGTCATCAATAATAATGTCAACGTCAAATAAGGTTGATATTTGTCATTGCCACAAAGATCAATGCCGACAATCATCACCAACGCTAAGACCTACAATCGACTTCAATATCAGCACCCATTATTAACAAAAAAGCAAATTTCTATCATCTACACTAATAAGATCGATGTCCGTCACCGCCACCAAGATCAATGTCCATAATCATCACCAAGCCTAAGATCTACCATCAACTTTAACATCAATACCCATTATTAACAATAAGGCAAAGTTCTATCATCAATAGATCCAATTACCAACAAAGCTAATGCCCATCTTTTAACATCCTTATATTAATACAAATGAAACGAGGGACACCATCCAGACACCTGCTCTACATCCGGACGTCAATAAAATGTCGCTACGTGCTCTTACTCTTTACCGTGCAGCCCGACCGACTACCCAACCCGGACCGGAACCCAATATTGCTATGTATTAGCTGATTTGTACAGATCAGGATATTGTTAGGTTTTGCTCGGTATTGCTCGGTAACGAAAAAAAAACCATTCTGTCAAGACCAATACCGAGCAATACCCTAGTTTTGCTAGGTATTGTTCGGTATTGCTAGGTATTGATCGGTATTGGTCTTGACAGAACGGTATTTCTCGTTATTGCCAAACAATACCCAGCAATACCTAGCAATACATGAATATAGCAATACCGGGTTTCCGTTCCGGGTCAGATCGTCGGGCGCGCGGTAAAGAATAAGAGCATGTGACGACATTTTATTAACGTCCGGATGTAAAGCTACGTCAGGTGTCCCGACCTACTAAAAATTCCCTTAGATGAGGAATTCCTAGTGATCGACCGAATAGCTGGCTTTCTCCTATTTAAATTATTGGTATCCAGTCAAAGCCCTTTCGTTCCGGCCGAAGTACCATGGTGACCACCTGCCTGGAAAACAAGCTCCTCGGCGGCGATGAGGAGAAGTTCACACCCTTCCTCCTCTTTTCCTGCTTAGTTGCCTCCTCCGGTGGACTCTTGTTCGGCTACGATCTCGGCATCTCAGGTAAGGCTTCCATCTCTTACCATCTTTCTCATTCCTGATCTTAGTAATGGATGAAATCGCCCAGGGGGGGTTACCTCCACGGAGTCTTTCCTCAAGCAATTCTTCCCCGGTGTCTACACCGCCATGAAGCAAGACGCTAACATCAGTAACTACTGCAAGTTTGATAGCCAGCTGCTCACCCTGTTCACCTCTTCACTCTACTTCGCCGGCCTTTTCGCCTCTCTCTTTTCTTCCCAAGTCACTAATAGATTAGGCTGCCGGTTTTCTATGCGCACTGGCGGCGCTTTTTTCTTTGCCGGAGCCATTATCGGTGCCGCAGCAATCAACGTCCACATGCTCATCTTAAGTCGCCTCCTTCTAGGCTTTGGCGTTGGCTTCACCAATCAGGTTTGGGAAATGTTTAACTGAACAGCTGAAATTTGTAATTTTGTCCTGAAAAACTCATCTTTCGGTACCGCAGACCGTCCCCTTATACCTGTCAGAGATGGCACCGGCGAGGTACAGAGGAGCAATTTTCAACGTCTTCGAAATGTGCATCAATGGGGGAATCCTGCTCGCAAATCTCATCAACTACGGCACCCAGAAAATCGAAGCCGGTTGGGGCTGGAGGCTGTCTCTCGGCCTAGCCGCAATCCCCGCCACAGTTCTCACCGCCGGCGCATTCTTCATCTCAGACACTCCCACAGGAATATTCCGGCTAGGCGGCGATCTCCAAGAGGCGTCGCGTGTTCTGCAGAAGATCCGAGGAACCACCGACATCACCAAAGAGCTCGACGACCTTGTCGCCGCGACCGCCCGAGCTTCCTCTGCAGCTGCAACCCAACACCCTTTGCGAAGAATTATTCGACGAAATTACCGACCCCAACTTGTGATGGCCCTCATCCTCCCCATCTTCCAACAGTTAACGGGCATCAACTTGGTGACTTACTATGCTCCAACAATGTTCCGATCAGTCGGTCTCGAGGAGAGCGCCTCCCTGCTATCATCGTTGATAACGAGACTCACGGCCACGGCGTGCAATCTCGTTGCCATGGCGTTCGTCGACAGGTTCGGGCGGCGGAAATTTTTCTTCTTTGGCGGAATCCAAATGTTTGTTTCGCAGGTGGTGGTGGGAGTAATCATGGCGGCGAAGCTGGGAGACCATGGCGTGATGAGCAGAGAGTACGCGAAGCTGATGTTATTGTTTCTTAGCTTATATGTTGCGGGGTTTGGGTGGTCGTGGGGGCCGTTGCCATGGCTGGTGTCGGAGATGTTTCCGCTCGAGATAAGGTCTGTGGGGCAGAGTATAGTGGTGATGGCAGGGTTTTTGTTCAATGCAGTGATAGCGCAGAGCTTGCTGTTAATGCTCTGTCATATGAAATGGGGGATCTTCTTCTTCTTCGCGGGATGGGTATTGTTGATGACTGTGTTTGTGTTTTTGTTCTTGCCGGAGACGACGGGCATGCCGCTGGAGCGGATTGGAAGGGTGTGGAGAGGCCATTGGTATTGGAAGAAGTTTGTGGAGTCTGTGGAGGATAAGGAACCAGCGGAGGTGAATGTAATGTGAGGACTTCCATTCAGAGACATTAATTTGTGAGAGAGATTCATTGGGCAGCTCACGTTGGTTTAGGGACATTGATTATTAATCTAAGAGATTTTGGTCATTCCAAGCTTCTCCATAAACTCACACCATAATCCTTTATGTAACTACTAGTATAGCATTTTCCAACTTAGCCTAAATGCTTAGTCAACTAGGAAAGCCTTATAGGCTCTACTAGGGGTGTCAATTTCAGGTCACGGGTCGGGTTCGGGTCGAACCCGGAACTGATCCGGGTTCAAACGGGTCAACCCTAACCCGACCCGGGTAGACAAACGGGTCGGAAAATTGAACCCGGACCCGACCCGGCGGGTTGCCGGGTTGACACGACCCGACCTGGTTTGGGTGGCCGGCGGCGGACGACGGAGGACGCGAGCGTTGGGTTCAACCCTGATTTTCTGGGTGGGTCCGGGTCGGATTTTCGTGTCGTATCAAATATTGACACCCCTAGGCTCTACACTAATTGGTTGGATAGCTAGTAAGGCCAGTTATCCTCAGAATCAGCCTCGATCTTCTTTGGGATCCACTTATATATAGGTAGCCACCTAACAAAAATAGGCACCCGAATCCATTTCTCTCAACTTCCCCAGAGAGAGTGAGAGAGAGAGAAAAATTTTTCAAAGCTTTTCCCTCCCTCATATCCATTTCTATGAATAAGATCACCAAACTCATATGAGCTTTTGGTAGTGTAGTGGTCTCTAGCCTTATTAGAAGGAAAAAATTGGCTAAATATAGAGGATTTCATGAAAAATAAAATTAAGGCCTAGTATTATTTATATTCAAAATTATTAATACTTTAATATGATTGAATTAGCATTTAATTATATGGTCAATTTTCTTTCAAATGCTTTAAAATTTATAATTCATCTGAAATTGAATCAAATCTAATGATTTTAAAATACATCAAAATTGTACTAAAGGGTAAATTCCAAAATATTTTGAAATTTTACTCTACTCTTCTTTTATTGTCATATCACTTTTAAGTAGAGGAGCATGAACTGGAGAAATTTTGAGAAAGAGTAGATTTGTTGATCTTTATAGCGCATTCTTGAATGCACCAAATCCAACCGCACATTCAAAGAATGCACCGAACCCTTTAGCACATTCTTTGAATGTGATGAACATATTGGCATATTCTATATAATGCGCCGGAACACCTAGCGCATTCGCCATTGCCCCATAAATATGTGCCGGTTTGTCGCGTAGTGCAAGAGATTCGTTTTAAACAAATAAAGTAAATGAAGTTTTTTTTTTTTTGTTCAGTAGGCTTACATTTATATATTTTTTTTAATTAGCTGAAAGTAAATGAAACTTTTTTTGTCATCAGGCTTTATTTTATGTTTTATTTTAACTTATTGTTTTTATTATAGGTAAGGCAGAGCACATATCAATTTTTTTGCAACACTTTTTTAGGCGAGATTTTGATAAATTTTTTCACACTTACTAGAAAAGATTATATTTGTTGAATTTTAATTAACTTTTTTTTTTCAACATATAAATTTTTCCAAATTATTTTATCATAGATTTGATTTCAATTTTAAGGTTTTCCTAAATTTATTTTTCTTGGATTTTAAAAAATAAAAAAGAATAAAGATAAGAAAAATGATCTTATTTTTTTTGTTAGTGACGATCATTTTATAATTATTATGAAAAAAATAGATAATAAATGTGCATTTAATGAATGAAAACATTAGAAAGAACTTGGTATATCCTAATTTTATTGTGTAATTAGAGAAAATTTTTGAAAAAAAATTTAGATTATTCTTAAACATATGGACAACAAAAAAGTAACATTAATTATATAATATGCGCGTTGAGTAGCCATTATAAATTAACATTACATAAAGATCAAAAGAGAAATATTACAAACTAGCAAATTAAATAGGCGCATAACCCTACATAGTAATACATAGCTAACTCTATATGGATCTAAAAAAAAAGTAAACAATTGCATCCATATTATGTTATTTATTCCTAAGTAAATAACGCACACGAGCTTGGAGTTGTGTTTGTGTAAGATAATATTTGAAGTGAAACTCAAATTCTTGTTGAATTTGTTGCCGTTCTTGTCCATTTAGAAAATCCTTTCCTTTCCATGTTCAAAACAATGCATCAACATTTTCTAATAATCTAGAAGTCATTGATCATATGCATGACATCAATAATGATATAGAATATAATGATCTATGTCAAACATGGATCTTCTCATCCCCAGTTCAACTATACATTCTTTGTCACGACCAAGTTTACGAATTCGAGCCTTTAGAAAATCTAATGATATAAGGTGCCCATCATGTTCGCTAAATCTTTATTGTAGATATTTCCAACCCTCATCTCGAAGTTTACTACAAGTCCTATATTGCTTTATTTTTAAAACTTCATCATTTTTGTGCCACAATAAGCAATCCTCGTCTTCCCCCCAAGAATGCATAACACTGATAGTACATTCGCTTCAAGGATCTCATATGTAGTGAAAGCCAAACTTTCATGCAAGCGGCTACTTCCTTCTTCAATCATTTTCTTCATCAGGACACTTCTAATCTTATCCATAATGGAGGAGTACATTGTTAAGTAATGTAGATGAAGTGGTAGATTTTTGTCGTAGCATGAAAACTAAAAAATTTATTGGTGTTAAATGACATAAAGAAAAAGCTGGACAACTAATTAAAAAAAGGGAGTGAAACTGGTTTGCCAAAATAACGTATTCATAGTTATCTGTTTTATGAATGTGATGTTAATCTCCTTTATGTTTGTTACCATTGAAGTTATTATATTTTAAGGATTTGCACATTGATGTCTGTTTTGATGTAGTTCCCAATCTATGGTTCAAATTGTTATTGGACTGTTTCTTATGAGTTCAGATTATAACATTAAGTGAGCATCGGACATAAGCGATAAAAATTAGAAATATAAATTTCGTTAATATCATTCATACTCTTTACAACCATTACACCATTACAAGAACAATTCCATTACACACATAACTTAAGTACAACATCAACCTTGAACTTGTAGCCCTTCTTGGGCAGGTAGCGCAATTATGAATAAATTAAAAAAGCACATCTACCGACGACGTAGAAGAGCCCCACTCCCTGGAGTATATCCAACTGGAGCCTTTCGTCTTTGCCGATGAAGTTGGGGCTCCTTAATTACCTCCTCCTCTTGCTGCTGCGATTCTTCTGCATATTACTGTGATGGTTGTCCTCCCATTAACAATATATCCTGCTAAGATGGGGAAGACGACAACGCAACTGATGAAATCCACTCAGGTATAGCTATGGGAAAAAAAGAATGCATAGTAGGTTGTTGACATAATGTGTCATAGAACATATCTGCTACAGCTGTTTCCTGAGCACCATAAGGCTTCCATTGTTATGTGGAAGGTCCGACGACAATCACGTCATAACTGGTCGATGGAGTGTACATGAAAGCTCTTGGTGGATTGCTCTCAACTGTTTGACGGTGTCGGTTGCATGTAGATCTGGATGGAGCATTAGAGGTTGACCATCTAGCACCATGAACTCTATGAGAACCATATGCATGTTCCCTTGATTGGGTTCTTTCCTCCGTAGTAATGTTGAAAGTGGTGTAGTCTATGTAGACATATCACTAAACTATGGCAGAAAGTTCTGTCACCTGGTCAATAGCCAACTACAATGAACTGGCATTATGTCCGTGGTCTATGGCCAGTGGCTCCAAAATGGCAGATGATCGTATATAGTATTCAGCATACAAGATACAATAAATCTGTCATATATCATTTTAAAAAATATCTTGAAATAAATTTGAGTGCTAATATTTATAGATTTTTGTACGCACCATTAATCTTTCACCAGGACATCTCGAGAAGAAGGTCTCTCGAGAAGAAGGTCTCAGGTGGTTGTAACAGATAAATCGATGCCCTTGTTCTATACCACCGTACGTACGTCCCTAACTCCTAATTGACAGTGCCCTCTGGTGGAGTAACTCGTTCGAAATATGCAACTCTCCCCCGAAATATAGCATCAATCGTGACATACTACATAGAAAGGATAACTTATGTAAAACCTTCACTGCCATCCATGAATGGTACAAATTCATCATAATCACTCACTAACTATTTATTCAAATAGTTGACTAAGTTATTCATTCATGTATGCATATTACATAAGTTAATAATTTATTCAATAATTTCAAAATATGATTTAAGTTAAAAATACGCCACCGTTTTAATTTTTTTAGTAAATTAACTCACATGGCATTTACGAACTATATTCGGACACTAGTAATAAATTTATAAATAGATTCATCACACTGTTCTTAGGGATAAGGTGTGGTGCTGCCACATTTAGGGGATTATATACTCTATGACAATTTAAGCAGAGAATTTTTATTGGGTCAGATAACCTGATATAGAGTACATTCTTAAATAATGTAGATGAAGTGATAGATTTTCTGTCATAGCATTAAAAATAAAAAATTGATTAGTGTTAAATGGCATAAAGAAAAAACTGGACAACTAATTAAAAAAGGGAGCAAAACTGGTTTGTCAAAATAACGCATTCATAGTTATATATTTTATGAATGTGATGTCAGTCTCCTTTCTGTTTGTTACCGTTGAAGTTATTATATTTTCAGGATGATGTCTGTTTTGATTTAGTTCTTAATCTATGGTTCAAGTTGTTATTGGACCGTTGCTATTGAGTTCAGATTATTACGTTAAGTGAGCATCAAACATAAGCGATAAAAATTAGAAATATAAATTTCGTTAATATCATTCATACTCATTACAACCATTACAAGCCCAATTCCATTACACACATAACTTAAGTACAGCATCAACCTTGAAAATATAGCCCTTCTTACGTAGGTAGCACAATTATGAATACATGAGGATACGTTAGAAAAGCACATCTACTGACGACGTAGAAGACCTGTCAATTTTTTACCTGACGCAGACCCGACCCGAAAAAATCGGGGTTCGGGTCAACCTGTTTGTGAAATGGGTCGTGTTCGGGTTTAATAAACTGACCCAAAAAATCGGGCCGGGTTCGGGTTGACCCGGGAACCCGAAAATGACCCGAAGTTGACCCGGAAATGGTCCCTGCCTAGCTGCCAGCGTCGACTGCCCGACGCGTCAAGTCACGTCTCGTCGCGTCGCTTCGCCGTTTGGGAATCAAGACGCATGCTAGGCTGCCATTGCTCCGTTGCCCACTTCGGCTTCGTAGTTCGCAATTCGCGTGCCAGCGCGGCAAGGCCCTCTTTGGGTGCAGTCGCGCCGCGTCGCGTCTCTTCGCCTGCGCCTTACCGCTACTCGCCTGCTGCCGCCATGCAGGTTAGGTCCGAGTTGAGATAGCCGACCCGTTTACAAAAAATGGGTCAGGTTCGGGTTGACCCGTTTAGAACCGGATCAACTCAGTTTCGACCCGAACCCGACCCATCGACCCGAATTGACACCCCTACCCCACTCACTTGAGTATATCTAACTCACTTGAGTATATCTAACTCACTTGAGTATATCTAACTGAGGCCTTTCGTCTTCGCCGCTGAAGCTGGGGCTCCTTAATCACCTCCGCTTCTTGCTGCTACGATTCTTCTGCATATTACTGCGATCGTTGTCCTCCCATTAACAGTATATCCTGCTAAAATAGGAAAAATAACAACCCAACCGATGACATCCACTCAGGTATAGCTATGGGAAAAAAAGAATGCATAGTAGGTTGTTGAGATAATGTGTCATAGTATGTATCTGCTACAACTGTTTCCTGAGTACCATTAGGTCTACATTGTTGTGTGGAAGGTCTGGCAGCATTCATGTCATAGCTAGTTGATGGAGTGTACATGGAAGCTCTTGGTGGATCGCTCTCAACTGTTTGGCAGTTTCAGCTGTCTATGGATCTTGATGGAGCATAAGAGGTTGACCATCTAGCACCATGAACTCTATAAGAACTTGATGCATGTTCCCTTGATTGGGTTCTTTCCTCCATAGTAATGTCAAAAGTGGTGTAGTCTATGTAGACAGATCATTGAACTATGGCGGAAAGTTTTATCACATGGTCAACAACCAACTACAATGAACTGAGATTATGTCTATGGCCTCCGGCCAGTGGCTCCATAATGGCAAATGATCGTATATAGTATTCGACCTACATGATACATTAAATATGTCAGATATAATTTTAAAATATATATTGAAATAAATTTGGGTGCTAATATTTATGGATTTTTATACGCACCATTAATCTTTCACTAGGAGATCTCGAGAAGGTCTCAAGTGGCTCCGTTCGCGGCTGTAACGGATAAATCGATGCCCTTGATCTATACAAACGTATGTACGTCCCTAACTCCTAATTGCCTATGCCCTATGGTGAAGTAACTCGTCCGAAATATGAAACTCTCCCCCAAAATATAGCATCAATCGTGACATACTACGTAGAAAGGATAACTTATGTAAAACCTTCATTACCATCCATGAATGGTACAAATTCATCATAATCACTCGCTAATTATTTATTCAAATATTAGACTAAGTTATTCATTCATGTATGCATATTACATAAGTTAATAATTTGGCCCCCCACCTATGAGGATATGGGATGCTTAATTTTCTTTTTCATCGTTAGCTTTAAAAACTTACTGGTCTATAATATTTTCAAGTATAAATTTTAACTTCTTTTTTTTTTCAATAATAAACAATCAATATATTGATGAGAAACTTCCCTCTCACTCTCTTTGACATTATCATATGAACTTTATGGGATTGCACACAATCTTAAATACTTCTAAATAAATAAGATGTTATGGCACTATAAAAGTTTAAAAATTGTCTATATCAATATTAAAAAATGTCTATATCAATATAAAAAAATCCTTATGTTTCAATGTTATTGATAATATAAAGTATCATATTAGTTAATTATAAGTACATAACAGAATAATATCATAAATTCTAAGGAACTAAAGCACATTACATAAATAAAATTATAAAGCCTTTCTTTCTGTGGGTGTCAATATTTGACACGACACGAAAATCCGACCCGGACTCAACCCGAAAAATCTGGGTTGGACCCGATCCGATTTCAAAACGGATCGGATTCAGGTTCCCGTATTCGTCCCGTTTGAAAAAACGGGTTTGGTTCGGGTTGCCGGGTCAACCCGAAAACTCGTTTAATTTAAAAAATTTGGATTCCCGCCCGTGCTGCTGCCCCCGCCCTCGCGTGTCGCGTCCACCTCCTCGCCCACTGTTTGTCCGCCGTCGTTCCGACGTTCCGGCGCCGGCAGAATCCAAAATCGGATCGGGTCCGGGTTCGGATTTCCGACCCGTTTGTCTACCCGGGTTGGGTTAGGGTCGACCCGTTTGAACCAGGGTTAGTTCTGAGTTTGACCCGAATATGCAGTACTGCTTTGCGTTTTCTTCAGAAAATGCAGTACTGCTTTGCGTTTTCTTCAGAAAATACAGTACTGCTTTGCGTTTTTTTCAGAAAACGGGATTCCACTTCCCTTTTCTGCTCCTTTTTAAATTTTTTTTATTTTTATGCTCCTATTCTTAAAACAATGATGAACTTTGCTCCTTTTAAAAATTTCCCCCACTAACCTATGCCTTCAACATCTGCTGCTTCGCACTCCGACCTGCTCTTCTCCCTTCATTTTAGGGGTTTTATAACTGGGTTTTATAATTCCAAAAACCAACAATCAGTCCAGGAATTCCATGCTGTGAGGGGACATCGAAATTATTTTCACGCGAGAAGCGAGGAACATGCAAATTTTCCGGAATTCCGGATTTAGTCGGGCGAATGCTCTAGGTGTTCCTATATATTGTATAGATATGTCCGGCACATTCAAAGAATGAGCCAAAGGGTTCGACGCATTTTAGATACGTGATTGGATTCGGCGCATTCAAGAATGCACTACACAAATCGACGAATCTGCTCTTTCTCAAAATTTCTCCCGTTTGTGCTTATCTACTTAAAAGTAACATGAAAGCTGCTCCTTCTAAATGACCTCTTTTATTTTTAGACTAAACATCAATATGTTCAAAATTTTTATATTTAAAATATTTTACGCCCATTTTACTTCAAACCGAACGGCCTCATCCTCTAAAGATTTAAATGAAAGCTTGATGGAAATCTGTGGAGATAAAATCTTAGATTTATCATGAAGCCTTAAATTAACATATTAAAACAATTAGAAAAGAAATCAATAAATATCAGTACTTATACAATAACATATACTATTTAATTATTCTTTTTTTCTTCTTTTTTTTTTTTCTTTTTTGAGGAATTGATGCATGCACATTAACATCAATCACCCTCGAACCCAAACCATACACAGAGATCGAAGCTAATTGGTTAGCACAATAACAACTTAGGATTCTTATTAAACAAAACAGGAATTTTTTACTTGCCAGCAGTGAATCCTCACTCTGCAGATAACAGAACGTCGGCGGCCTTCTCCTTCTTCCTTTGCTCAATGTCCTTCTCCTCGTCGCCACCGCCGCCAGGGGCATACCTCTTCCAATACCAATGCTGATTCCACACACTCACCATTTGATCCAACGGCACTCCCTTTGTCTCCGGCACCAAAAAATAGACGAACGACGTCATTAACAGAACAAATCCTGCGAACAAGAAGAAAGTCCCGAATTTGAGGCCGCAGAGCATCTCCAGCACGCTCTGCGCCACCGCAAAAGTGCTGAGAAAGTTCACCGCCACCTGAATGCTCTGCCCTGCCGACCTTATCTCGAGAGGAAAAATCTCGCTTGTCACTAGCCAAGCAAGCGGCCCCCACGACCACCCGTAGCTCCCCACGAAGAGACACAATATTATGAGCACCAGGTAGGCGATGCCAGTTCTCACTGTTCCATGGTCATGAAGATTCGCCGCCAGCAACCCTGCAAGCAACACGTGAGCAACAAACATCACCAAGCCACCTGTGAGAAACAGAGGCCTTCGGCCCAATCTGTCCACCAAACCCAGCGACGCCACCACTGTGCAGCTTAAGGATATGCATCGCGTGATCACCGCTGACATGAGAGAAGCGCTCTCCTTCTGCCCGATGGTGCGGAACATCACCGGCGCGTAGAAGTTCACCGCGTTGATGCCAGTCACCTGCTGGAAGAAGGGAAGGAACAGAGCCATCACAAGATGAGGTCTGTAGTTTCTTTGGAATATACGGCGGAAGGGTCTCTGCTCCTTCGCCGCCTTGGTGGCTTTGGTGGTCGCCGTGGCGAGGTCCTCCAACTCTTTTTCGACGTTTTTCGTGCCGCGTATCTTTTGAAGCACGCGGCGAGCATCATCGAGATTGCCACCGCGACGCAGGATTATGCTGGTGGGAGTCTCAGGGAGGAACAGAACCCCGATGAAGAGGAGAACGGCGGGGATGGCGGCGAGTGAGAGGGAGATGCGCCAGCCCCAGCCGGCTTTGATCTTCTGGGTACCGTAGTTGACGAGGTTGGCGACGAGTATTCCGAAGCTGACGCAGATGTCGAAGCCGCCGGTGAGGGCTCCTCTGTATTTCGGCGGCGACATCTCGGATAGGTACAGGGGGATCGACTGTAAATTAGAAACGAATAACGATAATCGAATATCACAGTGTTTGCATCAAAATAGAATTTTTTTCAGGGGCATTGCGAGCAAAAATAATCATAAATTTACAGACATGCCTGCAGATAAAACTTTCTACCACTAGATAAAGACAGACTACAGTAGAAAAGGAGGAGGAGGAACAGAATAAGATTTCCTCTTACCAAATTTTTGATAAGTGGATATAAATATTTCAATTTACTTTAAAATAATTTAGAATATAAGTTTTAATTAATTATTTATATATTATTCTTATTTTAAAATATTTTTTTTATTTTAAAATTTTTTATCAAAGTTTGTTAGAAAATCTTAATTTTTTTTTTTTTGATTTGCTCTTATCTATAAATAAATCTAACCGTTTTGAAATATACCATGATTAAAAAGTTGTTGGGATATTCTAAATCAAAATTTTCATAATTTTTTTCCAAAAAATTATATATTTATATATATGTAATGTCAATTTTTTTTTTTACAAAATGAGTAATAAATAAAAAATAAAATTATTTTTTTCAATCATTGGACAATAAATTCTTTGGCGTAGCATATATGTATCAAAATTTGAAGAAGCCGGCATGGTTTTGGACCTTTGGTTCATCTTTTGTCTCATTAGGAACATATTACGCAAACATCCTCCACGAGAATGGAAAGGGGAAGAAAATTTTCAAATTTTGCTGTCCGTCAATATTTGAAAAAAATAATACTCTTTATCAATTTATGTTCTTGCACTGGCTCGCAACATATGGCTGTATATGACTTTTTGTTATTTGTTTAATGTAATTAGTCAAATTGATCTCATAAATTCAGATTGCTGCAAAGATAATTTGACAATCAACCCTCGCCGTTCCGAATTAAAAGCTTTAAAATTCCTTAAAAAAATAGTAGGGTTGACAGCAACAATAGAATATCTTAATCCACCGAAGGTGATTTCCTAGTGATCGACCAAAGAAATGAGGGAGGTGAGATGGAGATGTTGGACATTATCACCTATTTTCTTAGAGTAAAATATTTGAATCCTTCTGTTTGAAAAGAGATCAAGAAAAATTAATTCGGGTTTAGGGATTTATCAATGACAATGCACTGACCTGATTGGTGAAACCGATCCCAACCCCAAGCAAGATCCGAGCCGTAATAAGAGTCTTCGCTGTTAGCGATGAATCTGGTCGGAGGGGGCGCGGCAGAGGGGTCGTTCGTTGCCATTGGGGATTATGGGTTTCGTCTCAATTGTCGGAGTGAGAATTTTCTTTTATAAGCTTTAAGAGAGTGACGCCTTCTTATCGTCAGTTGGTTTTGACGAAGAAGGGAATGGATAAACTCCCTCTAATTATTTGTAGGCATTAATTTTGAGTTTAATTAGAGGATAATGTAAAATTTTTTTATTAATTATATTTATTTTAAATTAAATTCAATGTTTTTAAATTTATTTTATTCCTTTTTTATACTATTAATAGAATTAAAATAAAATAAATAGTATTTTTGAGGAAATATCTCCAATATCGATTTCAATTTGTTATTTAATTTACACAAAAAGTGGAATAATAATTTTATAATTGATAGTTAATGATTTATAAACAATTTTCAAGTATACTATTTAAATGAAACTTAATGAATTAATAATTTTCACTTCTATAGTTCTATTATTTTTATAGTGTAATAAATATATAATTGATTTAAATTTATTAATTTATCGTATTATATGACTCAAAGAATAGAAATTGTAATGAGAATACATAATTATATAATATATCTTTTAAATAAAAGCCCTCTTTATGTAAGTAGAAACATTTGGGAGAAAATTAAAAATGATTTATTAAATTTTCTAAAAGAGAATAAGGAGGATAGCAAAGCTGATGTTAGAGAGACTTTAAAGATAATGAAGTGTGAAAAGGTTGTTGGACTTGATGATATCCAATAGAGGTATAAAAATGCTTAGGAGATGATGCAATTTTTTGGCTTATAAAACTTTTCAATGCTATTTAGAAGACTAAAACAATGTCAAATTAGTGGAGGTGGTGTGTGTTGATTTATATTTTAAGAATAATTTGATGCACAAGAGTATAAATTTTAGAGGAATTAAGTTGAGTCATACTTTAAAACTATGGGAGAGAGTTATTGAGCATAGGTTATGATGTGATACTAATGTTTCTCAAAATCAATTGGATTCATGACAAGTAGGTCTATTATATAAGTTATACATTTATTGAGAGGTTTATTGGAGAAGTATAAAGAGAATAAGAAGGATCTACATAAGATATTTATTGATTTAGAGAAAGCATACGATAAAGTTTCAAAAGAAGTGCTCTAGAGAGTTCTAAATAGAAAAGGGGGTTAATAATGCTTATATTCAAGTTATTAAGGATATGCATTTATGAGCCATCACTTGTGTTCAAACACAAGGTGGTTGGACCAAGTATTTTCTTGTTTCAATTGGATTACATCAATGAACAACTTTAAGCCCATTTATTTTTTACGTTAGTCATGAATGTTCTTACTAGCCATTTGCAAGAGGATGTATCATGGTGTATGTTTTTTTGCTAATAATGTTCTTATTATTGTTAAGACTAGAGAGAGAGTTGAAGGAGAAGTTGAATTATGGAGGCCAACCTTAGATTAAATTTTTTTTCATTTAAGTAGATATAAAATCAAATATATGGAGTATAATTTTAGTAGTAATAGATCTAGTTGGGTGATTATGACTTTGGGCGATCAAGTCATTAATAAGAGTACACATTTTAGATATCTTAGATCTATTATTCAAAGTGATGGTGAAATAGATGTGGTTATTATTAGTATAATTAAGTTGGATGGTAGAAGTGAAGGAATGCGTCGAGCCTGTTGTATGATAGAAAAGTACCCCTCAAATTTTAGGAGACATTTTATAAGATAGTGGTATGACCTATAATGCTTTATGGCGTAGAATAATTGGATATTAAAAGAGAAGCATAAAATTAAGTTAAGTGTTGTAGAGATGAGGATGCTCAGGTGGATTAGAGGCTTCAATCTTATAAACAGAATGCAAAATGAGTATTTATGTGAAAACGTTGGAGTAGCTCCAATGGAAAATAAGGTTAAACATAGTCACATTAGATCGTTGTGTTACATAAAATATCAGCCTTCTAATGACCTAGTTTGGAGAGTAGATGTATTAGATTTGACCTATATTAAGAAAGATAGAGCTATACCTAAGAGACTTGGTTATAAAATATTAGAAATGATTTTTTTTATTAGATTTAAATGAGAAATTAACTCTTAATATATATAACATAATTGAGAAAAATGAATCATGCTACTGACCCAACATAGTGGGATAAAAGCTTGATGTTATTTTTGTTGTTGTTGTAATTTTTCTAAAAATTATATATTTAAAATAGAATCCAAAATTTTTATTTATGGCCACTTTAATCCCAGAATATCACGTTGCTCCAATTTAGTCTCTTGTACAAAATTGATCCAAAATAGTCCCTCATGTTGTAATTTTGATATAAATTTACTTTCGATTTAATCCATTGACTTTACAAAACTGATCCTAATTTAGACCCAAAGGGACCATTTTAGATCAATTTTATATAATCGAGAGACTAAATTGATGCAACATTATATTCCTAGACTAAAATAATCATATATAAATAGTCAGGTGACTATTTTAAAATTCAATCCAAAATAAAAAAATACCCATCAACATTACATAATTTATTTTTGCAAGTGTTTTGTGTTGCCTTAATATACAGAGTTTATGAAAGAACTATCAAGTCATCTCATAAACTTTAAAATTTCATCAAATAAACATCTTTTGATGCTTTTAAAAGTGTATTATTCTAAATTCAATAAAGTGGGTGCGAATAGTTAAAAACTTACAATTTATATAAGAGAAACAATGAACCACACAAGGTGTGATCTAACACATTCATAGGGAAGACATGTTTTGAGAAAAAAAAGAAGAGAAAACTAAAATTTTAATGGAGATATTTGTTTTTTTCATTTTATATAAAAATATTTATAATGTTTTTTTAATGAATGGTTAGGAAAGAAAATCTCAATGTGAGCTTCATTCTGTAGAATAAAGAAAGAAGGCTTTCAGATAAGCCAGAGACAGCAGGGAGAAAATAAGAAAAACTTTCATTGATTTGTCTGTTGGATACAAGCATATAAATAAAGAATGGGTTGAAAGAAAGCACAGGTAGTGGCTAACGATACATCAGGAAACTAATATAAAAATGCCACGTGTAAATGTTTCTTACAGCCCCCCTCAAACTTATGGGTGTGTAGCAGCTATGAGTTTGCTTGATAGAAATTTAAATCTTTGAGTTGGTAAGGCTTTGGTGAAAAGATCGGCGAGCTGATCTGTTGTGCATATGTGGTGGACGGAGATGTTGTTTTTCTTGATGCATAATTCCCTGATAAAATGGTATTCCACCTTGATATGCTTTGTACGAGCGTGAAAAACTGGGTTGTTGGCGAGAGCGATGACGGATGTGTTTAGTGGGTTCTTTTTTAGGTGTATGAAAGTTTTTGAGTAGGCGTCAAAGCCATAGTATTTTTGATGCTTTGGTGGCAAGGGTGCGGTACTCTACCTCTATGGAAGACCGGTCTATTGTGTTTTGTTTCTTGACTTGCCACGAGATGAGTGAGTCTCCTAGAAAGTTGTAGTAGCCAGAGATGGACTTTCTGTCTTGATTGTTGCTAGCCCAATCTGCATCAACATGTCCTCGTATAGTTAAGTCAGTTCGATTTAGAGGAATACCTGTGGCGGAGGATCCGTGTATATAACGAAGTAGTCGCTTGAGAGATTCTTGATGACTATTGAGCGCGTGTTGCATATGTTGGCAGAGTTTTTGGACGACGAATTGGATGTCGGGTCTAGTTAATGTGTGTATTGTAGTGATTCGATGAGCTGTCTGTATAGTTGAGGGTTCACATAAGGTTCTTGGGATTTGAATGTAATGGTGGTTCTGCATGAGATTGGGGTGGACACCAATTTTGATTGCCTCATGCATGCGCATTGGATGATCACTTTGGCATATGATTTTTGATATAGTATGATACCGGAGGGAGTTTTGGTAGTTTGAATGCCCAAAAACTGTGAAAGAGATCCGAGGTTCCGCATTTGAAATGTGACATGAAGATTAGCTAATAATTTATTTATTTCAGTTGGAGAGTTACCGGTGAGCATAATGTCGTCGACGTAGAAAAGAATGTAGATACGAGAGTTGCCGAATTTGTATGTGAGGAGGGAGTGATCGGATGCATTGATTTGGAACCCGTAGTTGAGCAAGTGATTGGAGAGGGTGGCGTACCACTCCCTAGGAGATTGTTTTAGGCCGTAGAGTGCTTTCTTTAACTTGCAGACATATTGGGGATGTGTGGAATCTTGAAATCTTGGAGGTTGCTGCATGTAGATGTTGTCGGATAGATGGCCATGGAGAAAAGCATTTGAGACATCGAGTTGGTGGATGGTCCAGTTGTAGTGGAGAGCTATGAGAATGAGAACGCGTATTGTTGGCATTTTGGCGATTGGGATGAATGTTTATGTGTAGCTTATACTGTGCTCTTGATTGAATCCTTTGGCCACCATGCGAGCTTTGTGGTGGACTATGGATTCATCTGAGTTATATTTAATACGAAAGGTCCATTTAGAGCTGAGGACATTTTGAGATGGGTTGGGAGGAACAAGTTCCCATGTGCCTTGAGATTGGAGGGCTTGGAATTCTTGTGACATGGCTATACACCATTGTTCAGATTTGACTGCCTGGTTGTAAGTAGTTGGTTCGTTGGGTTGAAGAATGTGGGCTAGATTGAATATTTTCTTGGGTTTTGACAGATCGCTTTTGAGCCGAGTAGTCATAGGATGTGTTGGCATGGGCACGGATTGAGTGGGAACCATAAGGTGTTGAGTGTCAGGAGTGGGTTGTGTGCAGTCCGCTGGAGGGGAGTTCAAAACGAAGTGTTTCTGGTTCATATATTGGTAGTGTGAGTTTATTGTAAATGTTGCTTGTGAGGTGTTAGTAGGTGAAGTTGTGCTAGATGTGTGTATGGTTGATGTTGGAGGCATGACTAATGAGGGGGTAAGATGGTTTTGGAAACCAGCAATAGTGGGGGAATGGAAAGCTGAGTGGATGATTGAGATGAAGTGTGAGGTGTGTTGGTGGAATACAGAAATATATTTTTGTTAAAAATAATGTGGCAGGATGTGTAAATTTTGTTTGAGGTGGGGTCCAAGCTTTTGTAGCCTTTTTGGGATGATGCGTAGCCCAATAATACGCATGGATGAGAGATTGGTGATAATTTATTAGACGTGCGAGCTTTGGGTCAAAGGTACTAGAGACACCCGAAGACTCTAAGTTGGTTGTAGTTGGGTTGTTTTTCATAAAGAATTTCGTGAGATGTTGGGAGAGGGCAGACAATTTATTAGGTGGTTCACGGTGAGTAGAGTGTCGACCCACGGATGTTGAGGTAGGAAAACTTGGATAAGAAGTGTGCGGGTAGTTTCTATATATGAGGTGCCTATGCTTTCTTTCGGCGACGCCATTATGAGAAGGTGAATGAGGGAAAGTGAATTGGTGAATGATGCCCGTGGATTTGCAGTAAGTTTTGAATTTGTTGTTAATGAATTCACCTCCGTTGTCGGTGCGAAGAATCCAGATCTTTTGATTAAATTATCGTTCAACAAATTATTGGAATTAAAAAAATTTCGAGAAAACTTTGAATTTATGAATTAGCGGATAGACCCAAGTAAATTTGGAAAAACCGTCTATAAAAGATACGTAATAGAGAAAGCCTTGAGAGGATAAAATAGGGAATGGACCCAAACATCTGAATTAACTAGAGAGAAAGGACAAGTAGTTACAGTTTGAGACTTTGTAGTGGGTAGACGATGGCTCTTGGCCATTTTACAAGAGCATTTGTGTTGATGTGTGAACATTACTGTGACATTTGGAGATCGTGGCGAGAATTTTAGCCTATGGGTGACTGAGACGATGATGCCACAGATCCGGGATTTATTGAATGGAGAGGAGGGCAAGCTTGTCAGCATTGAGAGCTGATTGTTGATTGAAGTTAAATGGGTAGAGGTCATTAATAGATGGACCCGAGAAGAAGGAGGTGAACATATAAAAGATTGTGGGTATTCCGATTCTTTATTTCATAGCCATGAGAGAAAAAAGTGATTAAGTTGTTTTTATCTGAAGTTAGTTGGTGAACATATAAAAGATTGAAGGATGGATTAGGAACGAGATTGAGGTTCGATAATTTAAGACTACAAGTGGGTGTGGGAAGAAGCCTTTTACCTGTGTTGTGGATCAGAAGATGGTGATTGTTCCCAAGAACCACTTGACTGGATCCGTTGTATATTTGTGATTGTTGTAAGTGGCTAGGATCCGATGTTAGGTGCATAGAGGCACCGCTGTCAAGAAACCATTCCGATGAGTTTGATTGGGATGGTGAGGTGAATAGAAAAGTCTTTGGTTTGGTGTTGTATTGGTCATCATGCCGATGCCAACATTTGATGGCTGAGTGGCTGAATTTGCCACAAATTTGGCAAGAAATGGATGGTCGGTTTGTTTTGCCTCCACGGTTTGTGTTGGCATTGGTGGATGTTCGGCATTGGTACTTCCACGAGAGTTCGACGTTCATCCGCGACCCCTTCCGCGACTGGCGGGGAGAGATGTTTGGTTGCTGGCAATGTTGAGTGAGTGCAATTCTTTGGTTGTTTCATGAAGGAGATTGAGCTCTTCGCTGCATAGAAGAGTGTAGAGCTCGTCTAGGCTGACCGAGCGGAAGTTGCTATGAATAGCGATCTTGAATGCTTGGTAGGTGTTGGGTAAGTTGTTGAGTGTATAGTGTATGACATCTTCTACGTCCACGAGTGCACCGACGACGGCTAGTGCATCTACTTTCGATTTGATTTCAAGTAGATATTGGGTTATTGATTTTTTCTCTAATGGATAGGAAGTGTAGCTCATTCTTTAGTTGAATGATTCTTGATCTTGTGGTAGATTGGAGTCGGCTATCAAGGATTTTCCAGATTTTGGTGCAGTGGTCGACAGAAAGAGCGTAAGGTAGGATGGCTGGGGAGATAATGGAATAGAGTGCGGCAACGAGGTTTTGATCGATCAAGAGCCAGTTGGTGTAGGAGGGGTTGGTTGTTTGATGTCCTTCACTGGTTGAAATGGAGGTAGACGGACAGATAGTGGAACCATCCAAGAATCTGTCGAACCCGTTAGCGCGAAAGAGCTTGATCACTTGAGATCGCCATAGCGTGTGATTGTCCGCCGTTAGTGGTTGGGAAATGACGTTCTTGACGTTGCTCATCAAGAATTTGAGGGAGGAAGGTATTTGAGGGGAGGAGAAGGCACCTTCGGAGGTGGAGGAGTCCGTCTGGTTTGATGACAGTGTGGTGGTTGTGGGAGTCATTACGGGATTCTGAGTGGTTTGAGAAGGGAGATGTTGATCGAGACTCATGATACCATGTAGAATAAAGAAAGAAGGCTTTCAGAGAAGCCAGAGACAGCAGGGAGAAAATAAGGAATACTTTCATTGAATTGTCTGTTGGATACAAGAATATAGATAGAGAATGGGATGAAAGAAAGTACATGTAGTAGCTAACGATACATCAAGAAACTAATATAAAAATGCCACGTATAAAGATTGCTTACAAATCCAACCTATCCAAGCTTATGGAAAGATTTTATAAAAAATTCCATACAAATTATATCATAGTTTAAAATATATATTTTTTATTATAGGATATAAGGTTTTGTTTTCAACGGCTTTCTTACAGCTTTTTGAAGCAACTTCCTAAACCCTAAATTTTTAATTTTTTTACTAAAATATGGCTTTAAACACACTAAGAATATCATCTCAAACAAAGACTAAATCCCCCAAAAGAAATTGTTTAAATAGTTACTTATATCTTGAGCAAAACTTTATAATACTCTCGATAAATGAATCGAGCTTGCATTTTAATTATTGTGCTTGTGTTTTAATGGATTTGAACCCCAAAGTATTTCTTAAAAAGAAAAGGAAAAAAACTCATTAAGCCTTTCTGTTTATGTAAGGAACTTAAAAAAAAAAAGAAGAAGAAATAATGAAGATTTTATGGATCTATCATTCCCAATCATCAACTTCTTAGGTTTACTTAACAAAGAAAGTAGTTGATCCAACCTAATTAGAGGTTTCTTTATCAGCAACTACAAATTGCATCATCCAAATAGATCTTATAATCTCTGAGGCAAAAAAAAAAAGAGAATTTGTAGATTATATCTTTTAGATGAAAGAGAATATAAGATCACTTTTTTTATACTATTATAAGATGCCAAATAAAAGAAAATTGGGAAAATTTCAATTAGTTGTTTAGTTTCATATTGTTTAGGAGCTTTGTCTTGTGTTATTTATATTGTTTTTCCTACTTTAATGTGTTAAGAGATTACATGTGGTGGTGGGACCATGTTGGCATGAATTTTTGGTTTTTAATTGATATATAATTAAAATAAAAATTTTAACTTATTAGTAATTTGATATTTAGTTAAATTTTTTATATTCAATTAAATTATTTAAATAAATTATGAATTAAACAAGACGGTACTTAAAAATTAGGATCGGTTCAATGATTGAACTGGCAGTTCAAACTGGTTCTCACTGATTTGATGTTAGGCTGATTTACAAGAGGACCGTACTCGCTGGTTTTGAAGAGGATTTCAAGATCATATCCTACAGGAAGATCTGAATAAAAAAATAGCCATAAGAGGAGAAGGAAAGAAAAGCTCATTATAAATAATAGGTAGCTTTTAAGTGGGATTGCAATGATATTTTCCCTATTGAGTTCTCATGTTTAGCTCTTATTTCACCTTCGAAGGACTATCCAGCGATATTAACAAAATAAATAATAGGTAGCTTTAAAAATATGAGCTTTTTTTAATTACATTTCTATTCTTCCAAAGGCAATGGCGACAATAATGAGGACAAATTTAGGGAGTTGTAGCAAGCCATAACAACAATCCGGCCAAGTTAGGATGTGGAAATATTGCAAGATCTAGCTATCTTGTAAACTCAGGTTTTGTTTGAGATCATTTTTATATTACAAAAATGATAATGCAATGTATCGAACGCATTACATCTTGGTTAGAAGTCTAATCTTTTAACCATTAGACTGAGATGACAATGACTTCTAATGCAAATAAGAGTTTTTCCATGTCAACTAGTTGACAAAGAACAGTCCTGTTGAGTCCAGTAGTATTCGCGGCAGCAGAGAAATATAAAGTTTATCGTCTTAGCATTGTACGAAAATCCAGCATGCAATCAGATAAGAGAGAGGGTCTAGCATTCACACGAGACACTAATATTTTTACGTGGAAAACCTCTGAAAAGGGGGAAAAAACCACGGGGCCTAGCCCAGTTTGAATGAATCCACTAGTATTGTAGTTGATTACAAATGAGGTCCTTCCTTGGTGGAAGGTCTTAGCTTGATGTAAATCTTATGGAGTACATTACATGATGTTAATACAAAGAGTCATTGTTGACATGTTAATATCGTGATTCATCTTTTGTCCCCTTTTGCGAAGGTAACGGCCGTTCTCTTCTTTCGCGAGTTTTTCGACAAGTTCGGTAGAGACAAAAAAATAGCGAATATGAACAGTGCGACGCCAATATTGACATCCCACTGTTCACCCGCAACCAAATAGCAGAAGTTTTACCGTTCGGCTGGAGCTCGCGAGCGACGTCACGCCATCCACCAGCCTAAGCTCTCAATAAATTGACTAATAATATGGTGGGGTCCAATGGTTGGCCAATGATTATACACAAAGCATAAATCTACTTAAAATTTAAATCAGTCATTTTCTTTCCTTGCAAGCTGCCTTCGAACACAAAGTGGAGTTTCGTCGCGGTAGCCTGTTGACAATGACTTGCCCAATATGAACGAAACTTATATAATTTAAGTTTCGTTTGCCACATTTTTTTTTATTTTTGTCTAAAATAATTTTTTAATTTTAGTTTTAAATTTATTTTTACTAAAAAAAAACATTAAAAACTAATTATTTTCTATTTTTAATGTCTGCACTTTTTTTTTTATGTCAATAATACAGTGATAGAGTAACTCTTCTAATATCTACACAGAGCTAAATTAATCTGAAATATAATTTTAGTACCATTTATCGGGTTTATATTTCATGAGAATTGTTTCGATAAGCCAATCATATAGGCACAAATCATTTTGTAATGAATAATTAAAAAAATTATAATTTTTTGGAATAATTTCTTAGTGCTCAATTTTTTATATAAGTATGATAAAATTTATTTATGGGTGCCATAACAGATTAATTGGTCAAATTTTTGTTCAAACTAATCTGATTTCAATATAGTCGACCCAAATCCAACACATTTAATAAACGGGGCAAAAAAATAGACTTGCGCCTGACCAATTTGCAAGCCAGATGATTTGAAACCAAACTAATGCCTCTAAATTTTAAAATCACTGACTTGTTAGTTTATATTTTTAGCTTTTTTCTTTTTTCAAGGTCTTCCTGATTTGAATAGCACAAATTTCCCTTTTATAAAAAAAATAATAATATGTGATCAAATGCTTCTTGGGACTGTTTGATTGGAGGAAAATTGAATGCAAAGCATAGTAAAAGCTTTATTTTTTCACTTTTAAGTGTTTGTTTGGTTACTGAGTTAAGCGAATTAAATTCCTAACACATTTGTAACTCCCTGCATTAGTACATTTTCCACGTAAAGCAAACCCACTCAAAATCGCACAAAAAATGAATTCCACAGGTGAGAGAGACTAGCAGAAGCCAGAACGGGAGGCCAAATGGTGCAGGTTCACACGTGAGAAGAGTTGCAGGAGTTGCAGCTTTGGGTCTCATTCACATGAGACGAGTAGAGGTGGGATGGAAGCTGTATGTGAGTGGAGCAGAGGGAAATGTTAGGGGTTCACTCGCGTGTGCGGGAGCCGAAAAGTACAAGAGAAGGCGGGAGTCAAGTCGGACACAGACACAGAAGATGAGCATAGGTAGCCTTTGTCGATCATTCGCATGTGGTGTTGGAGCAACCGACAGGGGAATTCAAGATCGAACAAGAGCTTGTGCTCAATTGCGGCTGGTGGGATCAACAATCATGTGGAAGCCATACGAATTGCTACAGCCCATTGCTGCGAGATATGCCTTTTCACTTCTAGTTGATTTGGCCACTTCATTCAGAAACCTGGAGCCGCGGGATGGCTACACCACTTCGTGTGGGAACCTAAAAAAGTAAGGTGTGCCTTCTATGCTTGATTTTTGGGGGAATGCTAAACAAGCTGGTGATCAATTGGTGGCAATGAGCTAATTTTACTTTATTATGCATACACCCAATTAAATAGAAAAAATAATTCCCTAATATTCACTTTACAGACAACCAAATAGCCTCAAAATATTTACTTTACAACCAACCAAACAGCCGCTTAATATAAATAAAATTCATTCTGAGCACCATCACATAAGTTCAAATCATTAAATCAACAGATGACTTTGGACCTCTAACCTGTCACATATCCATATAGCTTTTAGACAATTTTTCAGGTAATAATTTTCTTTTCAATGACCTATTATTATAGTATTACTTTGGTAGCCAATTTGATATATTGAGAGAAATATAAAATTTTATTATTATTATTATTATTATCCACCTGAACTAGATCAAAATTCAAATCAGTTAATTGATGAGGTAACATATTACAAATACGTTCGGATTCGGACATAAGAGCATAATGACCTTATGTGGATACAACACGCAAATGCCATGTCAACAAACAAAGAGGGTGGAAGTGAGGTCTTAATGAGTGAAGAGATTATTACGTGCAGAATCCAAACGTAGTTCACATCCGAACTCCAATGAAAGCAGGACATGTCATCAATACACACATTGTGTATAACTTTATACACAATATGTGTATTAATACAAACTATGTTCAACAATATGATCCTTTTCCCGGACGACGTCTAGACTTCGCCCGTAATGATTTCTTTAATGTGTGAGGCCTAATAAATCTTGAAACAATTCTCAATGCATTATTTGTTCTATATCACATAATTCCTTTACGCTTCCAACCAAATATTTGTTCCTAATATTTTTTTTCAGAACTGCTTGTTAAAGGCGTGTTTTTAATAAGAAACTTTGACATTCATCCACCTAAACCATGCTCTGAACAGTGGAGCATTGTCGCCTGCACCCGTCATTGTTCCTCTCGTGATCCGCACGCCCGTGCCGCTTGTGTGCCTTATGCATTGCCTGCTCCCAAGCAACACACCCGCGCTCCAACATCAAGCATCTTTCGATTCGCCAATCTTCCCTGGGCACTTGTGTGTGCTCTGACTTGCGACTTCGCACGAGCTACCCGTCCGATTGCGAGTCTACAACCAACCTGCCACCCAGAGGTTCTTGATCTTGCCTGTTTTGATCCACTTCTCCGACAAACAGCCAAATGACTCTGCTCACTGATTTGCCCGTGTTCTGACCTAAAAACTCCACCTCAAAAGATCTAAACAGATCATTAATCAAGAGCAAGTAAATCCCGCTTCCAGCAAGTCAGATCGCAGCAGGTGTACAAATAGTTCTTTGATCGTAAAACGAATCAAGGTGAAAATTATTGTGTATTTGTCTAATTTTAGATTAGGTTGTTCTTGCATGACATCACACTAGTGTAAATGTATATAAATAAGCATTGTAGGTTGATGTAAATGTGTCCCCTGATAATAAGCTCTCCCAAGCATGAATCAATAAAGGTTGTACTTGGCTTTCTCCCTTCTCCCCTCTCTCCATTCTCCTTCTCCCTCTCTTCTTTTTTGAAGGTTGTTCTTGTAGCCAAGAAGAGCTTATTGTTTTTTCAAGAATCTAACAAGTTGCATTAGAGCAAAGTGAATTTGATCAAGAGGAAGGAGGAAAATTTCTTGTAATCAAGAAGAGGGCAAAGAAGGGCAATTTCGATTGTGTGCGGATCGAAGATGGGTGCCTGACTCTCGTGGGTGAGGTGATTGGGCATGGGAAGTCATGCAGGAAGCAGGAGGCAAACCGCACGGGAGTAGGGCACACGAAGACCAGTTGTGCGGGTAGTGTTGCGTTGTATGCACAAGCAAAGTCGGGATCGAGCTCACAGATTCGATCGTGCGGGAAGCGCGTGTTGCGCTGGGCGCTGTGGTTTCTTGGCGAATAGTGAAGCTCGGGCCGCGTGTTCTATGTATCAGACGCAGGGCAATGCAAGACTGTGGATTGGATGCAGTGGTACTGCAAAAGGGATGTCTCAAAGGATTGGAAGTGGAGCCAGTTGCAACAAACATGAGTTCGAGAAAACAGGTGGAGGAAGAAGAGGCGACCGACGGGGAAGGCTTTTCTTGGTTGTTCTTTGTGGACAATAGGTGACCATCTAGTAGAGGTTTTTCTTTCTTATACATAGAAAAAATGGACCAAGGTGGAGATTGTTAGAATTTGATCCGGTCCAATTTTAATTAGTTAATCCGAAAGGCACCCTACCATTCTATATATACTTCATTTGTCAAGTTTGTATGTGGAAAAAAAATAAAATAAAGCTTAGTTTTATGAAATTTTCACCCAAGCAAACATCAACTTGTAACATCTATTTATGGGTATTGAACACTGATGTGATGTCTTGCAAAACAACATAATCTAAAATTGGACCAAATCCTAATAATATCCCAGAGTGGGAAGATTGTTAGGACATCGTGAGACAGATTCTAACATTCCCCAATATCTACGGGCCTTTATTTAATCTCAGAATGTTATAAATTTCTTTAGTCTTAAATTATTATTTTTAAAGCCTGACTGTTAAAAGCTTGTTCTTCTCTTCAGAATGAAACCTTATTTCTACAGGAATCTTAAGAGGGGTGATGGCCAAACAAAGTTATACGTTATAGATACTACCGCAGTTGTAGAAGGAAGGATTTTAAAGATCCAGAGAAATCCACGAAGCCTCAAGAAAACTAATCCTTCTAAAAGATGTTAACAGTAGTGAATCATTTCTTTTGAGTGGAATATCATAACTTTCAATGTGGAAAATGTAAGGCAGAAGTTGGAGAAAATAATAAAACCTAAAGGCAAAAAATAAAAATTAAAAAACTGCTGAGCCTCCATGATAACCATCATGCAAACTCATCAATCCGGTGTATAGTTTTCAGAAATTCCTTCTTGGAGTGTTATGTCAAAGAATAATAAAATCAAAACTGTAAAAAACACTTTCTTAAAAAGAGAATCAAAGTAAGGTTAGCCATGTCGTTGTTCTCTAATCTCCAGATTTCATCAAAACAGGATCTTTATTACATTAAAATAGCAATAAGAGCGTAATAATCACTGTCAGAAAACCGCTAATACCAAGATGAACGCACCTGAAAAATATTATATTCAAGAGCCGGTCTCTTTTATGAAGAAGATGGCAACTTCATCAGCAAAATAGGAGACCAGCTTGGCTGCTCTAGCAACTTGAAGCCTCCTTCAGTAACAGCCTTAGAATTTTCGGTGTAAAACTGCCTTTGTAAGTGCGTATATGCGCAGTACTCGACTTCATATACAATAACATCCTTGAGGTGAGACGTAATAGAAACCCCAACTGCTTCAGCTGAAATAGAAAAATGTATCATAGTAATGCATTTTTTCATAATAATTCATCTTAATATTCCACATTCCAGTAATGTTTATATGGAACAAAGAGGTATATATATAATTGTTATGATATTACATATCTAACACCTAAATCTTTATATTTACTTAATAACAATCAAATCTTTTAAAGCACATTGATCAATATCACCAATATTAGGCTATCTATTATTAAATATTTGATGTGATTTAAACATTAGGGTCCTATGTAAGTATAAAAATTTAGATGTTACACATGCTAATACATAAAAATTTTATGATATGTACATAAATCACCCAAAACAATCAAATAATTACATTAATGAAATTCTTTTATAACAAAAAGAAATAGAAAGAGCAAACTGAATAACACAACATTTTGGAGCTCACCATGCGTGACCAGCAATAAGTTCTCATGTGGAAATTTGTCAGCTAGAGCCTCAATGACAGTATGGTATCTCTCCCTTGCGACAGCCAGTGACTCCTCCCATAAAGGCAACTATAACAACTCAAAATTGTTTTCCTAATTCTTTAGAGAGAGAGAGAGAGAGATGCACCTTAAAGTGTGATAAAAGCTATGAACAAACAAAAATAAATAAACCTGCTGTTTAAATGGTTCAACAGAATGATCTATAGTTCCTGCTGGTAGCAAAGCCTCGAGCTCTGAAACATCAGGAAGCCACATTCCATCTTTAGGAGGTGCGCTGAGTCTCATTGCTGGCATACTAAAAACTTCACACAATCCATATTCTATGTTTACCTGTACAAAAGAAAGGCAACATCAAGAAAATGAAACAAGAAACAAGATTCTACAAATTCATAAGATAGCAATTACTGCTTATTTTACTCTTTTATTAAAATACCTTCTATCTTGCTCATCAGAACCACGAAACAGTAATATGATATCATGCATTTATGCATCAAATAAATCTTGATTTTAAAGTAGCGTAAAACTAGTAGTGAAAAAAGAAGCACTTTGACTTCCAGTGTGAACATTTGTCCCCAAACCATTCCCCAGGTTACAATAGCGAGATTGTGAATATGGCTCACGGGTTTAAAAATAGCTAGTGGTTTGTAAGAATTCAAAACCTAAAGGACAAAACAATAAAAAAGCATGTCGACTTACTATTCTAGATAATTTGATGTAAGACAGCAAGGATAATAGAATTGGATGAGGAAGGGCAGATTTCTTGAAATCATACTAGGTAAAATCCCAGCAGCATCACTCACCCAGGCCAAGGGTTCTAGAAATCACCCAGGTGAGAAAAGGTCAATGTTTTATGGGCCTAACAACAAAATAAAACTTTCACTACCTAAAAAGGTCTAAAGTGAAACAAAGAGTTGGTAGGAAAAGCGTGATATAAGAAAAAAGGCACCATTCGATATTGCTAGAATATTAAAATTATTATGTTACCATTTATATATGTAGAAGATGATAAATAATGACCATGAATGCACCTGATGCGTGCATCAACACAATTTAGATTCAACCATGTACATTACGTGCTATTAGAAAAAGATCCAAATTGCTAAAAGGAAAAAAATTGGCTCATCGGTCATCATTAAGTTCATAAGAGAAATGAATTTCCCGTCAATCTAAAACAATTTCTAACCACATGAAAGTAACAAGAAAACATTGGAAAGTATTTATGACGACAGAAAAGCCATAAACACATAGCAATGTTTAGCTAATGAATTTCCTATAAATTTCATTCTCAGCAAGCTATAAGTTACACCCCTCTGCGAGGAAGCCATCACTACAAGTAACTGCAAAATTTCCGTCAATTGGGCTGTAATTACTGCATCAAGAAAGTGACAAAATTGACTTTATCATCAAGACTAGCTCGCCGGGCAATTTTTAAAACTAAGTATCGTCTTAATCATAATTAAGCGATTAACCAATGTTTTCAAAAATTTAAAACTCGCCAGTGTCACCCGTTTAATGAGCAACTTACATCAAAAGGATAAGTTGCCCGTTTAACGAGCGACTTATTGAATACGGTAAGTCGTCCGTTAAATGGGCGACTTACCCAATTCACTTTATCCCCTCCCGATTCCCTAGTTCATCCCCTAAATTCACGAACGGAGAGCAGCCGACGGCAAAGGGAGTTCGCGAACGAAGAGCAGAGCCAACGGGTTAAGCTTCTTTGTAATTTCTTTTAATTTTTTTTTGTTTAAATTGCATTTCTTTAGTAGCCTTCTTCGTTAGAGTGTATTATGTTGAAAGTTTAGGTGTGATTTAGTGCTAAGACTTAAGATTTGTGTGTGAGATGTGTTTTTTCATTGCGAATGATTGAAAAAAAAATTATATTTTCAAAATAGTATTTTAAATATATTTCTAAAAGAAAATTATTTTTTATAATACAAACGATCGTAGATGGAGTAATGTGACTGCAAAACCATGTTATTTTCTTATTTTTTATTTTTTTGCTATGCAAATGCTATTATATTTTGTAAATATATGTTATAAAGTTTTTGAAAATAAAATTTTGTATAAGATATCATTATCGATACGTAGTATTCCACAATGTCTGGATGGGGAGCATTGTTTGTCCTTATGTATGGTGGACAGTTGTCTTTAGATGATAGATATTCACCAACATATATTGGTGGGAGAAATCGGCCCTTGCAAGTGTCTACTAAGATGAACTTAGCGCAACTGAATATTACGATTCTGAAAGCCCTTAAATATGATACATCGAAGTACACAACAAACTTGGTTTGTTGTCTGCCCTTAGGGAATGAATTCATATCTTCGACTGTCGAGGATGATGAGGTATGTCAAATGGTGTTATCGCATGCAATTGGGCAAATACTTCTACTTTATATAGAGGTCGAAGATATTGCTGCATAAATTTTAGTTGTTGAGCAAATACCATCTCAAGTGCATGAGACATAATTTTGACGGGGTGACAGAAGGCGGTTCGACCAATCCAAGTCTCATGCCGCAATGTCCTTTGTAAGTTTCTCGTTTATGAATATTTATGTGTATTACATAAACTATTATTGTCTGAGAATTTCCTCTTGTTAACAAAATATGGTTTATGTGATTGAGTGAACGGCAAAGAAGTTTTTGTCGTGACTTCCAAGACTTACGAGGGACCATCGGTCAATATTGATGATGGTTACGAAACGATGAGTAGTATATCGAACGATCCAGGTCCTGATGATGGTGATGATGACGCATAATATCATTTGGATGAAGTGAATGTTGATATTGTTGCGGATCTATGGTTTATGATTTTGATCATAGCAAACATTCCTTATTTCTCTACGATTGTCTTATGTGCTAACGTTTTAGGTCCACACGATCAAACTGTAATTTGGAATCAGATCAAGATTGGGTAGACTAAGTCTGTGTCAGTTTGTAATCTTTTTCCTTTCTTGAGTCTGCTTTGCTTAAAGTTTATTCTTTATCAATTCACCACTCTCTTTATTTAGCCTTGGGCAAGTTCTATAGGGCTTAACATCCCTAACAAACTTTCAGATATAAATCAAGAGATCCATAGCATGGTTTAACGTTATTGTTACATGATTGTCAGCACTACAGAAGGTGTAACTATAAACAATGAGTTTGTGAAGGCATATGCAACAACTCATGAGTGGGATGATAATGTAGCAAATGACAGGGAATATGTTGGTAGCCAAGTTGAGGAAGAATTTTCAATTCCAATGGAGCTGATGGAGGGTATGTGTTTTAGCAAGAAAGATGATCTTTAGTTCACATTACAAGGTTGGTCGATTATAAATAATGTCGAGTATGTCTTTGTAGCTTCGAACAGACAGAAATTCACAGTGGTTTGTGCTCAGAGTGGAAGATCAGGCATGCCATGTATATGGCGTTTGCATGCAAGTGTCAGCAAACGGTTAGGAGGCATATGGAAAATATCTTCCATGAAGAACCAACATATATACGCAACTCCGATTCTAACAACAGGACATAGACAATATAATTCTCAATTTATAAGCTACTTCATATTGCCCAGCATTATAAGGTATATGGATCTCAAGCCGCGAGAGATTATAGGCCAAATTGAAGAAAAGTTTAACATTAAAATTTCTTATATGAAAGTTTGGGATGCCAAACGGAAAGCCGTGAAAATTTTGTTTGGTAGCTAGGAGGAGTCTTACAGAACCATAAATTTGTTCATGGACGATGTTGTGTTTTCAATGTCTGAAACTGTTTATAAGATACAAACGTCTGAGAATTATATATTTGAGAGATTATTTTTCTCGTTTGGGCCTTCGATAAATGGTTGGAGCTACTGTCGCCCTATTCTTCGCCTTGACGGCACATTCTTATTAGGCAAATATCGAGGCACTTTACTTACCACTGTGGGAATTGATGCTAGCAATGAATTGTATTCCCTCGCCTTCGCAATTGTAGAATCAGAATGTGTTGATTCATGGGTGTGGTTTTTGAGCCATTTACATATACTACTTCTAGTTGTTAGTACCTGACCTGATTTATGCATTATTTCTAATAAGCACGCTGGGTTGGTGCGCTGTTGTCGTGAAATTTTTCCAAATGCAGCACATCGCCACTAACTTCATCACCTATGTGAAAATTTTAAAAAAGCAATGCGTCGAATGGATGTTGGTGACGTTGAGTTTATATGACAGAATATGTATATGGCCGGGAGGCACTGATGACCCAATGGTATTTGATAGGTGCCTATAGGGAATGTTATGACATACAAGGATGAGCTTGATGGCTTACTGGAGAATCAGATATATTGAGTACAATTATATTTGTACATTTTATTCATATTAGTTCGATATTATAAAGATTAAATTGTTATATACATAATGATACGGGTAATATGGGAACCATACACTATAGAGATTTGTGCTCATGTTCAAGAGATATGCACTTCAGGTCAAGACACTTGGCTCTCCAGAATTCCTTTAATTAGTTGGAAAAGGGTTGAGTGGCATCTCCCTGATCAAGTACTACGGTAGTTTGGATATTTCCCATCCACCGATATCATGCCAATGGATCCTAGTTTTGTCAGAGTTGATGACGTGGTAAGGGAGATACAAATTGGGCATTGTATCACCAGGCAAGTATTGCATTATGGGAGAGCAGGAGAGCATACATTGTTACAGGAGAGATTCCTGGGTTGGACTATGATTATAAAATGAAGCAGTACATAGCATGGTTTCATTCTTTGGCTACACTATACATGCTAAAGGCCCCAATAGATCCTCCGAGTATATATTATCCAAGATCATCAGCTGAACGTCATATGGTAAGTTTAAGTTATTTAAATTTAATTATATGATAAACTCCAACTGAATTACTTATCCTTGCAGCGAAATTTCTTTATGAGTATGGAGAGGAGATTACAATAATACTTCAAAGGTACTGAGACAACACCTTTGTAGGTGGACATGAATATTGTTGGAGATATGTGTCAAAGATTGCGACAACAGATATACATTAACGATACTCATTATTTTGACGAGACAGATACTCAGGTGTTTAGTCTACCCGTTCCGACTGCAGATCCATACAATGCTGGGCCGTCCTCCTATCCTGATCTTGGTCCCTCTCAGAGCCACTTTACAGTAGAGTTTGACATCGTATCCACACCTCAATTCATACCTTCTTCCTTGGGAGAGCCCCCAGTTACTCAACAGGATGTTAGTGATCAGGAGCAGCGTCATCTACGTACCATACCACTACGAGAACCTCAGCATTTTACTCCAAGCACTGATGCGATTCCACATCGATATAAAAGGATGCATTAGTTTTTTGTATCATGTATCTTTTAGTTGCTTTAGTTAGATTTTGTTGTTTATGTATCTTATTATGCTACTATGAAACTACTGTTTTGTATCATGAAATTCATTATGCTCTTGCATTTAGTCCTAGATGAAATTTGATATAAATCTATAAATCATAATTTATAAGTTTTGAGAAGCATATATCAAATGAGTAAAATTATTTTAAGTTATAAAAATATGCTATAAATTATAGATTTTTTAAGATTTTGAAGTTATATAAATCAATAAATCATAAATTATATATATAGAAAATGCATCTTTCCTTCAAAAAATAGATCATATGATACTTAATCATAATCCTTCTCAGCCCTAAACTGATGCATATTTAAAAACCTTAAAATTCTAAAAATAACAAACAAGCAGCTACATTTTCATATTCATACTGACATATACATATACTATCATAAAACTTACAAAGATCATCGATAGCAGGCTCAAATCACACATAACTACTTTGAAATTAGGTTAATAGCATAATATATGAAAGCTTTTGATGTGAATCAATCATGCGATGAAATGTGAATTGCACTTAAAATTAATTGAAATATTGAATCAAAGCTTGCTAATAAAACTTTATGCGTAATCAATTGAAATTCAAGAATTAGAAAACGAATGATTACGTAACAACAAGAAATCACAGTCCGAGATTAGAAAGCTTTTCAAAATAACATCAAAACTTCAAGTAATGCGAATAGCTACCAAAACCCCAAATTTAAAATTTAGATCCTTCACCTTAGGATCCGTCACTCAATTTGAAGTGGAGGCTAGCGGAAAAGAACCGTGAGCAGGCTTAGCGACGCCACTAGTAGACAGGTGATCTTGAGAGGACTTGTCACCTGGACGGAGGTCGGGTTCGGAGGAGCGGGTGGACGGCTTTCGATGATCCACGTATAGACGGAGAAATGATCGTCTATGGAGTCCACGAAAGTTCGTCCTCTCTTTACCAGGCAAAAAACTCAGATTATCGTATGTCTTGATCAGGAATGCATCAGCCTTGGAATCCCATTTTCGATAAAGGATGCAATTAGCAACATCAGTCGTTGGGTTCGCCACGATCTCCTCGAACGATCCATCGTCACGACGTCTAATTTCAGCAGATCTAGCCTTCAGAGTGTCAATCGGCGCTAGATGTGCTGCACAACACGAAACCTTCCTTTGCACATATTTCCAGCCTTCCTCATTCAAACCCGTTCCATCCATGTAAGATGGATACCTCATAAGATCCCGGTGTGCACCCATAGTTTATAGTCCACCTTATCTGACCAGGAATGTACACAGCACCAGTAGATTTCATTCGTTCTAGCATTTTCCTCTAACGCATCATCAGTTGGAAATGCTAAACATCTATGAACTCGATTGCTCCCTCCATAATCAACAGCTTTGAAGAAACTTTTTTAAACACATACTTTCTGCTTCGATACATTCTTATATGGATGCAGGATACTAGTTTTTTTCATCATAACAAGAAATGGATAGACAATTTATAGGAGAACTCCCCATATAAATAGTCAATTAACAGCTAGCTGAGTCAGCATCAGTAAGTCGCCACTTACTGGAAGTAGTTCTTCCCGTTGCTTATCAGATAACGGCTAGCCGAGTCAACAAAGTAAGTCACCCGTTTAATTGACGTTGCTCGTACGCTCTTCTTGCACATAACGGCTAGCTGAGTCAGCAAGTAAGTCGTCCGTTAAACGGGCGACTTAAGTAAATTAAAAAGTCGCCATGAGTTTGATTTTTTTTTTTTTTTTGGTTTCTAGTGGAATTCAAGTTTCTTCTTGAGTTTTCTCTCAGTTTTCTCGCAATTTCTCGCTGTTTGGCTGCTGTCCTCTGCTGAAAACAGCAGTTTCCTTCTCGTTTTACTTCAGATTTGGCTAGGAGATGCTTGAAATCAAGTATTTCCTATCATAAACATCTATGAACTCGATTGCTACCCTCCAAATCAACAGCTTTGAAGAAACTTTTTCAAACACATACTTTCTGCTTCGATACATTTTTATATGGATGCAGGATACTAGTTTTTTTCATCATAACAAGAAATGGATAGACAATTTATAGGAGAACTCCCCATATGGATAGTCAATTAACGGCTAGCTGAGTCAGCATCAATAAGTCTCCACTTACTGGAAGTAGTTCTTCCCGTTGCTTATCAGATAACGGCTAGCCGAGTCAACAAAGTAAGTCACCTGTTTAATTGACGTTGTTCGTACGCTCTTCTTGCACATAACGGCTAGCTGAGTCAGCAAGTAAGTCGCCCGTTTAACGGACGACAACGGACGACTTAAGTAAATTAAAAAGTCGCCATGAGTTTGATTTTTTTTGTTGGTTAATCGCTTTATTAAATTTTAAACGATATTTAGTTTAAAAAACCGCCCTAGCTTGCCCGATTCATAAAAATGGAATAAAACTAATGACTTCTAATGAATGATGACCCAAGTTCTTGTTCCTAATATCCCCACACACACCGCAATGCAATCCATGATTCTGATTACAAGGACACAGGTTCAAGGTACCTTAACGCGAGTAGGATCGATCACTGCGCCCGCACTAGTCTCCATGGAGAGAAGATGGGTTTCGTCGTCAACAACGCAACAGAGGGCGGTGATGACCTCGGCGGCGGTTTGGAGGCAACGGAGGAAAGGGGAAACGATGATTCGGTGGACAGGGAAGCCAACGTTTCTCAGTCTCTTTCCCGTCGTCCAAGCCCGAATCATGCCAGTATCCGTCAGCGGTGGATCCCATGGCCGATCTGCGTGAGACAGCCACAGAGGTTCTGCCGCGTCGATTCTGTCACCGTGCCTCATTATCACCACGTTCTGCGTCCACCCCTGCCTCTCCTTACAGACGCCGCTTGCTTGTCCTCCTCCAGTTTGGAGTGACTCCGCCATCTCCCGCTCTCGCTCTCTCTCTCTCTCTCTCTCTGCGATGTACAAGAAGTCACACTACGCCGAACATTGAAGAAGAAATCTCGTCCGTACAGATGTCAGCAAGGAAATCAAAGTTATCTTGTTAAGCAGCTCTCCACAGTTTGGTTGTGAGTTTGACTCCTAACTAAGAGAAACTATTTCGTGCGGAGTCCGGACACTAAAGAATCGTTTGGATATAAATGTACATAGTGTATATACTGAGTATAATTTTATATACAGTTTGATTTTTTTTGTACATCGGGTGTACAAGCATTGTGAACACTCACATTCGGACATTTTGGTTTTCATTAATAGTAAACTTTTTGAAAGTTGTTAAACAAAGCTATGTAGAAAAAGGACATCAATGCTCAGTAGACGCTCTTACAAGTGCATATAAAAAGTAAATAAGCTCTTCTCATATCCTGCTCTACTATTTTGTGATTTTATTCAACTGTCATTAATATTTTAATTAACTTATGATGTTTATCATCATTATTTTAGAGTTAGTTAAGCTGATGTGTTTTAGTTGCTCTATATTTGTGCTTTGTATGCGATATAATTGCGCGCTATATGTGTGTTTTTACTGTGCTATAATTGTGTTTTTATTACGCTTTTGTTGTGCTTCTGTTGTGCTTTCATTGTACTTCAAATGTGTTTTTTTTTTAATCTTTGCTTCTTATTTTAGGTTGTGTATAAAGATGAGATATAAGCATATGAATGTTACTGTACTTATGTCCATAATAATGACTTTTGCATCTAGAAGGATCATCACAACTATTGGTCAAATTCTAGAAAGATAAAAAATCAAGGACTTTGTTTGTTCAAAAGCAGGTTTCAAGAAGAAAATCGATCTGAATTCCAAAAGAAATTTAGTAAACCAGATGTTAGAACTGGTTGTGAATCTATGGTGAGGTTTGTGGTTGATGAAGGTGATTACTTGCATGTCAAAAGATTTATTTAATCCCACAACCATGAATTAGCTAGACTAGCCGACCGACACCTTCTGATATCATGTAGGAAAGTTGATTCGGACCAGGCTATGCCTAGGGTCATAGAAGTAGCATTTTCTCATACTCGTCATAGACTATGTCAATGGCACATCTCTAAAAAGGTTCCATCAAAAGTACCTAGCTTCAATAACAACAATAAAGTTAGATGACTCTTCTATAAGTGTATGAGCTCTTCTATAAGTGTATGAGTAAGTGTGATTGTTAGGATGTGTTTGAGGAGACATGGGCTGAAATGATCAAGAAAGGGAACCTTCATAACCATAAATGGTACAAGAAATAATCACTTTAAATATGGTAGTGGGTTCATATTCAGAAATCAAGTGAGTAGATTTGCATATCAAATTAGCACACGAGCTCAAGAAAATGAGGAGGCTTAGCAGTACATATTGGCCTCAATGAAAAACATAGCTGAAAATATAAACTTAATTCTTAATTGCAAGGAAAAAAATATAAATTTGTTGCAAGATCCCAGGGTGGCAATGCAAACTTGATCCTATAAAGCTTCAGCCTAAAGGCACTCTAATGCAAGACTAAAAAACCACTAGAAAAAGAGGAAGAGGCCTAAGAGTAAATTTTAATATCTTGCTAATTTGCTTTTCATCTTATATTTTCAAAAAATTTAAGAAACAAAAGGTGTAGTTTTTAATAGAGAAACCTTCAGTGGGGGAAAAAATAAAAGTGATGGATGATCCTTCTATAACATAGATAAATTTCTCAAGCATGCCTGAATGCTTCAGTGAGGAATATATAATCGACCAAGCAACAAGCCAACCAGATGCTAAGTACACCAGATTGATGATGAATTTTATTACTTCATAGTTGAAATTTAATGATTTTTTATTATAATAAGTATTGATTGTTATAAGTATTGATTATTAACTAAAGTTTTTATGAAAATAATATAGTGTGCTTCTATTTCACTATATCTACTCTTTAGTTGTGTTATATCTGCTCTTTAGTTGCGTAATATGTGCATTTTAATTGCATTATATGCTCTTTAGTTGCACTATATGTGCGCTATATGTGTGTTTTCATTGTGTTAAACGAGCACTTTAGTTGTACTATATCTATGCTTTAGTTGCCTTATATCTGCGATTTCGTTGTGATATATGTGTGCTTTCGTTGCGCTATATGTGTGCTTTTGCTGTGCTATATGTGCGCTTGAAATTCTTATCAATACACAACAACAAAATATATAGAATTTACAATTAACTTAAAATTAAACAACACAAAATGTACACAATTTATAATTGACTTAATAGTACAAAATGAACTGAATTTACAATTTTACTTCTTCGTTGTAAGAAAAAGAGCATATCCAAATTATGCCCTAAATTTTGGCATATATTTTTACCAGTCTTTATAAAATGCCTAGTCTGCTTTCTTTTGAAGAATGGTTTTCTCCATATATTTGTAGACAAATATTTCGTAGTCAACATCATCCATGAATAGTTTGTAAATTATATTTTGTTATATCATTTGTAAAGGCTCCTTCTGTGTCTTCATGTAAGGATTTTATCTGGAATAATTAAACAAGTGTTTTACTTTTATGGCCATATTGAGAAAATAAGCTGCATACAATCAGGCTTGAACTTACAACTTCATAACATATTTTCTTGTATTCTTGATTGGATAAGGAATCATATAATTTCCAAACTCTCTCTTTCAACCTGCCTATAATAACGATCCACTGCTTACTAAAAATAATAGGTTGAATAAAAAGGTTGCTTTCCTTAACCTAATCAGAATTGATGTATATGAAAGGGTTGTTTGTAATCCTTGTATACCTGCAATAAGTCAGCTGTCTAAGAAAACTAATCATATGATTAATAGATTATATATAAGATATATACTAACCTTGTACAATGGAGAGATATATGTGGCGTTGAAATTTATCTGTCATAATCCTACTCTTCTCAGATAACAAACAAGCAAATGCATCTACATGGTTGTCCCATAAATACTCATTTATTAGCATATCATCAATATCAGCTCTAACTATTACTATGTTACCAGATGTAAAAATAAGATTGTCCCTGCAAAGTAAAGGAGAAAAATTAAAGCACAAGTAAAGCACACGAAAAGTGCAAGTAAAGCACACAAAAGTTTAAATAAAATACACAAAAAGTGCAAGTAAAATGCATCAAAAGCGCATGAAAAGTGCAAGTAAAGCGCATCAAAAGAGTAAATTAAGCACACTTAAAGCACATGTAAAGCGCAAGTAAAGTGCATTAAAAGAGCATGTAAAGCTAAACCAAATTTATAACTTACTTTTTATTAAACTTTTTGAAATAATCATCCATAAATATTTGTTGATCTTTAGTTTGGAATCCTTCCCGGGATATTCCATTGTAACCTGCGCAAGACGAGATTCAAATTTTAATTTATCAACAAAAATAACATCATGGGTCAGCGTTGGTTTCTTCTGTCTTTTAGATGGTTTCATGTCATATCTTCTTTTTTTAGTTTATGTGGTGGGTACTGGATGAATTGCTCGGGAGTGTTGACCAGAAGTTTACTCTGTATTAGAGGAGCATCAGTAGTGGGTGGTGGTAGAGAAACATCTATAGTGGATGGTGGCGGAGCAACATTTTATAGTAGGTGGTGGTGGAGCAGCAGCCGTAGTGGGTGGTGGTGGAGCAACATTTGTAGTGGGTGGTGGTGGAGCAACAACCTTAGTGGGTGGTGGTGGAGCAACTTTGTAGTGGGTGGTGGTGGAGCAACAGTCTTTGGTGGTGGAGAAACATTTGTAGTGGGGGAAGTTTTAGGTTTCTTTCGAGATTGTATAGTTGAGAAAGATAAAGATAAAGAATGTTTATTAAGATCATATTCATATTGGGTCATATGGTGGATGAATTTATATTACATAGATTCAACAGTTGCTTCAAGTTTTTCTAAATTATCCTCAATTTGATCAACTCTTCTGCCCAAATTGTCTTCAATTCTCTTACACATATTTTCTAATGCACTCAGTAATTTATTGTGAATACTAGCCCAATCTTCATGAGGTTTAGTAGGAGTTTGAGGGGGTTCTTAATATGGAGAATATGGAGGACCTTGAAGGGGAAAGTAAGGTGTAGTGGTGTCATCATTTTTTGGTTATGGTGAGTGAATTTTGTGGGGATATTGATGAGTTCAAATTTTGATATTTTGAATAGCATTTATGTCAGCATTGATATTTTCTTCTTCCTCCTTAATAATATCTCATAGAATAATATAAATCTACACAAAATTTAAACAAATATTAGAAAAAGGTGAGTGCTTTATAAAAGATAATATGCATGTGCGTTTTAAGTGCGCTTTAGTTGCACTATATTGCGCTTTATGTGTGCTTTAGGTGCTCTATAAGTGTGCTTTAAGTACGCTTTTGTTGAGCTTTAATTTGGTTGTGGCTTGTTATCAAAAGAAAAAATCAAAGCAAATTTAATCTCAAAACGTACCTCATTTTCCTTCAAAAATTTAAGTAAAGTGATAACACTCCCTTGGGTATAAAAAAAATCAGTATTCTCCTTCCATCTCAAAAAATGTGATGTTAATTCTGGATTGGTCGGTTTATTTATAGAGAAGTATTCCAAGAACCATATCTGCATAATACCACACATAAAACCACATCATGTAATATTATGTCATGAATTATAAATTAAATAAACTTTGTACTTACCAACAAGAGAGAAAAACTATTAATATAACCTAGTGGTTTTTCCATTGCAAACTTGTCTGTAATTTCATTGAATTCATGGACCATGAAATCCAATTAATAGAGAAGAACTCATCTATATTATTTGCTATAGATGTGAGCCTTCTTGGGGTTTTATAGTTATTTATGGGAAAAAATAAATTAGAAACAAAATACATTATAAAAGTTTTTAACTTTGTGCATTATTAGTTGATCTATTTAGTTTTATCATTTCAATTTTTATTTCTATTGATAGAAGTCTTGTGAGTGGCTCACTCTTCCAATTAATATTAGTAAATCTGTTGGGCAAACC